TGATTGCTTACAATGATTAGAATAAAAATATCAATCAATATCACATGTCATTTATAAATTCAAATATCATTCTATTAATCTAACACCTGATAACATATAATCAGTAATGAATAATTAAGACTATACAACTAATAAACTTAAATTGTTATGGCTCATCAGAGAAAAGTGAATGAGTTTGGTTGTATGCACTGGTGGTATTTTTGTAATTTCATTTAGTTAAAAAATATTTATTCAGATATATTAAATTGTATTTTTTTTGGGATGAGCTATCCTTGTATTTCTGAATGTATTTACTTTAGGTTGATAATTCCTGAGGATTTTAAATCTTTAATCATGTTTAATATATACACATAGAAAAATAATCCATCACTTGATTACACATAATTTTTATCTGTTTTAAATTAATTTCACCAGCTGAAGCCTAATGAAATAGAATTTGTTAATAATAATAGAAATTTGATAAATCTTAGCTAGTTTCACGACATAAAAATCATTATCATGTTTATTTTTCTGATAGACTTTTTTTGAGAAAGGTCAATTAGACTAGACAATAAAATAGAAACATTTGTAATTTAAAGAAAAAACAGTACAAATACTTGATTCTGAAAATAAGTAAACCAGTCTGCTAATAATAAATATTTTACTGTTCATTTCTTTTTGATTTTTACTATCCAGTTTCATTTTGAACAATGTCAATCTATTAAAGTAACATTCTATTTATGTACTTCCTTACTTTGAAGAAGCTTTGTTAATCAAATTATTCATCTTTTATATCATTTGACAATTTCTAGTCTTATTCAATTATTATTATTATCTTTTTAATTAGTTTCTATTGTTATTTAGATGACTGTTCATTACTACTGAGTTTATTTATTACATAAATTGTATTTCTGTACTATAGCTAAATAATCAAGATAAAATCTAAATATGAATTCTAGACGAAAAATGATGGATCAATAAAGACTGTTGAATTATAGTTGGTTTGATCAGAGAAGTGACTGTGAACCAAGATTAGTTTTCATACTTGTTCAACTATGTGGTTGCTAATAAACAAATGGCCATAAATATAATTTAATAAGGATATGTGACACTCTCTACATTTCAAAAGACTTACATAATCTTATACGTTTAACAACCAATATGCGTTGAATTAACTTGAGCAACATTCGAAAGTAACAGGTTAACAATACATAACTAACTAAAGCAATATGTGACTATAAAACTTGTAAACGCAGAAAAACTTTCACTCTTATTTGACACAACAATTCAGATAAATTATGATAGTAAAAACCTAGAGTAAATTACTTCTTAGTTAAATTATCAAAATATTATTAATTGACAGTTGCACAATATAAATTTACATCAATCTTCTAGTAAAAACATATGTTATGAAAGGAAATGATGAATGATTAACTAGTCCCCAGGTCACTCAGCTACTAAATGATCATTCTTAACTTCTTTCCAAGAGATTCATTATTCACAATTATATTGTCGGCTTAATACATTGAATAGAGAGAAAATGGTCAAAAATAGAATTTAGGAAATGCGTTTAGTCCTGTTTGGGACTAATCAACCGGATGCACTTGCATCCAAGAAGTGATGTTTACTTCATAATTCTAACCCAATACTTTTCGCTTTAAACATCAGCGCGTTTTCCTTTAAGCTACTGATTCCATAAAGTCACTGACCTACGTTAAAGTTACGAATTTTTTTTAATTTGTAGTGGTTTAGAATACCCTTGTTACCTATACTTCAACTGTATTTCGATCAGCCATCATGTTACCTTTGTATGTAAAGAAGGTTCACTCAACGTAATAACAAATAACCAAAACTCACAGCTTAAAATGTTTGTTAACTAGTTTGTTAGGCTTATTATAGTCCTCTAGAGATGGTGAGATTTTTAGCGAAAAGTGTAGTGCGTACACTTTTATGTCAAGCCTTCGGACAAACTAACTAATCGATTCTCCCCCCGAGTCTTTATTCACTCGTCCTTTGACCTTGTCAACTATTTGCTTTTAATTTTGGTTGTTTCTATCCTAGTATGTGTGAGCACCGCTTACTTTCTTTATAATATGTTTAGCTTATTTTGTCCAACCATAAGTGCTTAGTCATACCTCGCTCATCTCCACTTCGATTTGCTCTACATGTATGCTTCTCATTATCACGTCTGTCTGTATGGACGATTGGTTGAAAAAAACTCATCTAACCGAATCCGTATTTGGTTTTTTATTATCACCGTCGCACACACGAGGTTCTCCTAAGTATGATATATGGAAAATGAAGGGTAGATTCATTACACACTACATTCGACTGTTCATCCAAACGGGATCACGGGTCACTAAAGTAGTGAGCCCTCCATCGAATCTAACGCAGCCACTAAAAAATCTTAACCAACGTAGTGTAACTACACAACAGAATGGATTTTTCTTTTGTGAAAATAATTTCAAATCTAAAAGTTTCTTACTGCATTTATATAGTGTTTATTTGTTATGAGGCTTTTTGTGATAAGGAAAAAAAGCCAAATCAATCATAGTGTCTTGTACTCAAAACAAAAATCTTAAGTCAATTAAATCAATGAAATGTAGTGATTATAGGAAGTTGTTTATTTTTTTCAGAAAACAATGGTAATAAATCCATATTATACAAATGTTTATATGGTAGAACAGATATATATATATATATATATATATATATATTTGAACGAATTCGATAAAAATTGAATGCCAGGTAGACAGAAAATATGATTTATAAACCTTACATTTCAAATAATTTCAGCTAATGAAATTTGAATAATTCCAACCTTTTATGCAGAGATCTTGTCTGGACTTCTTCAGGGCAAAAAATTGAATTTTAATTATCTTGAAAAATGTCCGAACAAGATTGCAAGATGAAATGTTGGGATTATTTAAATTTCATTAGCTGAAATAATTTCACATAAAATTTTTATAAATAAGATAATTGAATACTTTATGTTTCTCAAGATGAACTTTTAAACAAGTATCAAATAATTGTTAGCTGTATATGAGAACATTTCATATGAAACTAGAAAATTCAAAGTATGGTGAAGAATAAAAGGAATTTAAGCATCTAATTGATTTCGATCAAATTCGAAGCATTTAATTCAAAATATTTATTGGAATCATGAATTAATCAGTGATAGATCACCATTAGAAACCCACAAGCAGTGGACTGCCATTCGTCTTAGTATGGGACTTACCGTTAGTGAGTATCCAAGACTTAGCAAACTGGTAATGAGTTCAGGGCTTGCAGTCTTGCACATTAACTCCTATCATTTGGATCACTGAGCGAGCATTCCACAATGTTAATGTTTAACCTCAACAAATCCACGATATGATGCAAAGCCATCTATTGTCTTAGTAACTGCCTACATTCGACAGAGTCGAACTCTAGTGGTCACGGCTTCTAACTCGAACTCTGAGGGTTTCCTAACAAATCTAGTTACTAGTGAAAACATTTTTATGATTTTAATTGGAGAGTTGTGAAAGTTATTGAATTTCACTCTCTGTTAGAATTGAGGCAGTTACCCGCTAAAGGTAGATTCAAGCTTGATATTTACACCGTTAGATTCCGGCCCATGGCCAAGGGGTTAAGCGTTCGTACGCGAGCCCGAAGTTCTTGTGTTCGATCCTAGCAAACGGGGTAGTAGATAAGCACTTCTAATGAATTCTATACTGAGAGGAAACGGCAGACTAGTGCCTGTGGGTTCCTAATTTTGATCTGACAATGACCGATTCACGATTTCGATTAAATCCAGCAATCTCCACAACCTCATAATACAAAACTCAATCAACCGAACTAATACTGGCATTCAAATCCTCTAAATGTACATATCATTTTATGGAAATAAAAAAATATTAAACAATACCCTAATCCATATTGTATATATTATATTATGCAACAAGTTAAATACAAGAGCTTAGAATAACATACAGAACTATCATGTATTGTATGGTTGATATAAAATTTTGTTTCGGTTTCAATGTACAATATAATATTGACAATTTGTTAGAATGATTAATTGATACAAACACATTGAACCATAAGTTAGTTTATTTTTTATTTTCCCATAATTCATATCATTTCATTTCTATGGTAACATCAATTCATTCTACTTGTAGATGTGTTGAATACAAATGAATTTATTAGCTTGCTATGTATGTTTGCTAGCTATGTCTTTCTGTGTATGTGTAGTTCGGTGTATGTGTACACCTTTACCACTCAGTATAGTTTTGATTCTAAGATTATTAGGCCGTATCATTGTAAATGCAATAGATCCACCGGTCCATGTATTTTTCACATTCCTTTAACATAGGAAATAGAAATCTCTCCATACAATTATTATCAAGAGTTTGCCGTCTGTTCCCAATTAAACATTATAAAACAAATAATTAGACATTTATACCATTGTAAAGTAAAACTTACTTGTTTGCTGATTTCATGATGATTATCCCTGATCAAAACTCTTTACTTGGTATCAGTAAGGCGTCTCATTCGGTATATTACCTGAAGATTTACATCATGAATTAAATTTTTTAATAGTCCTCTGAAAAAATTGTCGTGTTATTACTCATTTTACAACATCAACAAATCTACTGAGTTTTCAATAGGACTAGAACATGACAGTGTCATGAACAGTTTGCCTTAAAAAAAACTGTCGATAGACTGCCATAAATTGAGTAGAAATTAAATCTTTTCACATACATATTTGTTTCTTTCTCAAACACACCATAATAACTTTAATTCAAATTAGAATAGTTTTGTTTTTGTTAAAAATATTTCCCTTTTCATGTTACTCATCTCAGATTATTTAAAAAATGTTATATCTTCTATTTTTGCACTTCAGGGAAAGTTCAGTTTAATGGTTACATCATTATTACTGGAACGTTTTTTTTAAATCTTCACATCAATTTTCTTTCTGTATGATTGATTTAAATTTGTATACTTTTTTTCTTTGTGTATGTTTATCATCTAATATTTAGAGTTCCTATTCGAATACAAGTTATCGATCGTCATGGCCCAGTTTTTGATAAACCTCATTATAATTTTAAACTTGGTCAAAGAAGTCCAATCGGTAGTATTGTAGGTCAAATTCAAGCTATTGAAGAATTGAATCAAGCATACGATTATTCAAATACAGCCATTTGTAGTTATCGTCTTGAACCTGCTGATAGTCCGTTTTCTATTAATAATTATGGTGAGTTCATTTTTATTTATTTAGTAGAAATAAATATAACTCTGTTACATATTAGGCTTGAAAAGTCAATGGTCTTTATAGCTCTAAAAACTGTTTGATATTCTCACAATTATCATGGAAACTTATCCAATGGTAACGAAGAAAATAATTACATTAATCAAGAGGAAAACAATGTCATAATATAAATAATAATACTAATAATAATAAAACCAGTTATTTCAACTAAAAGACTGTTAGCCCATTTCATTTTTTGTATTATTTTAGCTTAAGTAACAGTTAGCTTTTAATTTATATACTTTTGCATTTCCACCTTTTGTTAATATTTTGTTGAACAATGCATTACATTCGTATCAATAATTTTAGATTATATCTTAATACTTAAAATATTGTCAAAGCACTTGAGTAATATAACAGTATGATTGGTAATTGATCAAGATATACATCAGCTTAAATATGATATCTGAAAAGTGGTACAAACAAAATTACGTGCAAGACTAATAAAGGTAGTAGTAGTAGTAGTAATAGTATGAGTGGTAACATCAGAAAATTAAACTGGACCATTAACACTTCACAACCTTTAAAACGTCGTAAAAACACATCTTTCAGTATGACCATATTTCCAACCAGATCCCGGTAAGATTGCCTCTGTGTCTTGTACTAACAGATGATTTTAGTTAAGTTAACCAATTTCTTCAAACAATGAAACCAATTCAATGTTAAATACCAAATATTATAAATCCATTTGTAAATTTAATTTTTGCCAATTAATCATTCATTAGATTACATTTTGCATAAACTTATATCTGTCGTAGGATTAACTAAAAAACGGATAATCACTCAAGTATTTCTTCAGACAAGTTTCAAACTTAGTCAAGATAAACAACATCTCTAAACCTTTAAGTTTCATAATAATCATCACGTAGTTCAACTGATAAATTTTTATTTTACTCATTGAAATCAAGAATCGGTCATTGTTATACTACCATAAATAACCCACGATCGTTTCATCCTGGTATGAGACTCATTAGCAGTGTGCATCTACAACCCTTGATCTCTGAAATTGAACACAGAACTTCGGTCTCGCGCATGAACTCTTAATCTGTAGGCAATGAACCGTAATCTAACGATGTCAATGTTTAACCTTAATCAACCCAAGCTATTGCGAGACGTCACTCATTGTCTTCAGTGGGTAACTGTCTCACACCCGACAGGGTTGAACTACACTGGTCATGGCTTCTAACCAGAACTGTGAGAATGTCTTCAGGAAGCTAGTAACTAGTGAACATATTTTTACGAATTTCATTGTACAGTTAATTGTCTAATAATGATTGATTCATGATTTCAACTAAAACTCAACAATCTTTACAACTGTAGAATGAAAATCGTACATTATTCCTTAAGTTTGAAATAATCAACCAACTATTCAAATAATTTCGAATGATACTTGATATGAATTAATTTTCTTATACTGCTGTCAAGAGTAATAACTGTAAATCTAACTTATTCCTTATATATTAGTAGTTATAACTAACTTTTTTCTATTGACCATCTCCAAAAGACACTTTTTAATAAATTTACAATGACTTTTTTTTATTTTCTTTTCTTTTTCTCTCTCTATTATAAACATTACTATTTCTCATTCATTACTAAATATTTTAACAAGCTAAGAGAGAGAGCAACAATTGACGATTGATGACAAAATATTCTCTTGATATAATTTCAAAAAATGTACATGTACCGTAAACATTTAAAGCATCGTTTGAAGTAGTCACAAAGAATACAGCTGAAAATAGAGTTTTTTTCTATGGTTTAAAGCAATGTAAGATAATTTTTCGTTTTGGAAAAAATTAAATTATCTTTGTTTTAATTATCTGAAATCAACTTCTAAGATTAATTTTCACTGGAATTTATCACTATTTTTTCTTTAAACATATTCTTAAGTATATTACTTTTTTAGTTCGCTTAACTAGTTACATTTAAAATACATACATTTTATCAACAAGTCGGTATGATTTGTTTTTGATCTGCTACTTTTCTTCTTTCTAAAGATTCACTATAATTTCTTAAGTTTTCAACTAGTAATAACTGCGCCTCAGATAAACTTCATTGGCTACGGTACCGCCACTGTGCAAAGTACTCACTAGTTGTTTAAAAATTTCTTAGAATATATGTATTCACTTTTTGTAAATCACGATAGCTACTTATTCGTTAGCGTAACAGAATAAAAATAAAAACAATAGATTGTTATCATGATAAACTTCATGTAATCGATTTTAACTCGATTGGTTCTATAAAATTTATGATAATTTATCATATTTCAACGGATCATATTTTTGACAATTCATCCAGGGAGTATTTGTGATTGATCAATAATTTGGGAATTTTGTGATCATTTTTTCAACAAACATGATGTTTTCGACATAAATGTCAATAAAAATTCATTAGATGAGAATTGATTTTGCCAAATGAACCGTTTAATTTTCATAAAAATTATTTCATTCTCTTATCATGCAATATAACTACTTCAGGTGTAAGGTAGTCTTTCGAAGCTGTCAACAGGAAACCATAAAATTAAATTTTATTGATATAATTCGACAACCACCGAGAAAGAATCCACAGGTGTGATAATGGTCACCACTCAATGAACAATCAATTCCTTGGGAGATCATTCGAAAACAAACAGCCCGGTGGTAACGCTTCTGACTAGGATCTAATGCAAGAGGAAGCATGAGTCCCCTAATGATTAGATGTGCACCTAGCTGAAAAGTGACAGTAAGGACAATACATAGGTCTAGATTTTCTTATCAACTTCTCTGATTTGTTCAACCTATCGGTATAGTGCAGGCGATCTCAGATTACTTAAACTAGTAATCCAATTGCAACTTGACTGGTAGAATTCACTTATCATGTATGAAATTGTTTACTATTCAGTGATTGATCAGTTATAGACGAGGCCTTGTTCACTCTTAGTTACCTAGAAACTTTATGTTGATATTCAATGAAAGTTCCTTGAAAGATTGATTTCACAATCAGATCTAGAATTCCACCACTAAAAGAAATTTCATGGTTATCATCTTACAAATTTTTCATTGCACAAATAAAGTGTAAGATAAAATCAAAAAAAAACTAAATCTTTCGTTTCCCCACATATCTATCACTTGATAACTTCTACGATATATTCAACTATGATTTTCATTGCAAGTTAAAACAGTCAAACAATTATCTCATGAGGTTAACTGATACTAGGATTTAACCATCTAGATTCATTAAAAATGTCAACTTCTGTGTCACCATAAAAGTTAAGGAAAAGTTGTTGGGTTTCATAACAATTTTCGTAAAAGCATCATGAACGACCATTTTAAACTAGTGATCACCTGATAGATAATGTGATATATTAGTTGTAGGAAATTAATGTGTCTACGTTATCATACTACTCATACTACTTCCCATTTTGTCAGCGCAAACGAAACATTTCATCTCGAAACTGCTCATTATAAATTACATTTGAATCAGTGGTACATTTATAGTGTAGTTTCAAAATTGGATGATAATAATACTTTGTTAATACCATAAGTTAGTTTACAGAGGGATAATACTAAAATATATTTAGAACATTATTCATTTGTGTAATACATTCCCCTTTAGAAATATTATCTATGTTCTGTCTTAAAATATTCATATCGATACAGTAATGATAATAAAAATACAACTCATTAAGCAACAAGTCCATTTCATTTACATTAAATCATATTGTTTATGTAAACGCTTTTAATTTCATACTGATTTCATGTATCAAACTTAAAAGAGTAAGGTTAAAACTGCAATCTAATAATTAAAAACCAAGAGCTGGTGATATAGACATCATTTGGATCGATAATCAACACATTTCTACATAAAAAAATAACTGATACTGATTTTTTTCAAACCATATAACTAATGCATAGTGTAATGCACATACACTTTTGATATTTTATTTTTTAGGCGTTATACGTGTACGTGAAGCACTTTTATCTCTTGCACAAAGACCTTATTCACTTAGAATTATTGCTGAGGATTGCAGTCGGCCAATACCAAATAGAGCATCAGTTGGTTTAACAATTGAACAAATTCTTGTTGACTGTAAACCAGGCTGGAAAAGTAAGTTATTTTGTGCTTTAATTTATATATTTTTCGGTACCAGTTATGACTGTTTTCATTTTTTCACTTTAGACTTCAGTCTAAATAATCCGTTTTGTGTCATTGAATTTTACACTCTAAACTTCTGTTTTATTTGTGTTCGTGTATTTTTATCTTCTTATAAAACATCGGACTTTGAAGTTCAGCATGAAAATAGTTTCGGTTACCGAATTGTAAACTGTAACCTTAAATAAGTACTTAAAATAAGTTTCTGTCTGTCATTCTCTCTGGTTTACTTTTCTAAGCTATTACAAAACACACTGACCTACATTTAAAAAAATATCAGCTCTGATTAACTCAGACATTACGTATATTTTACTTACTGAACTATAAAAGTTACCACTGAAATTTATTTTGCCGCATAGGTATTTAACATTTGTGTAATGTCAACAGACTACATTTTGGAAATGATCAGTTAACTTTACAAAAGTATACGTAATGTTTTCTTTCATTTTAACTGTTGGAATAAGATACTTTTATATTATGACAAAGCATAATCATAAGGTGTAGTCTGACGCAAACTATTTCTTTTTTAAAATTAAAAAATTTCACATAGACTCTAAACTTTATCATCATTAATTTTCGTTATACTGAACAGAAAATAAAATAATTGTTTTACTAAAAAAATGAATGCCTCAAGCCAATGTTTATTTTGACTGCAGACAACTATGATATAATTCATAATAGATTTTTCAAAATATCATGCACACTGCTGAAATCTGCCTGAAGATTTACTTAGTTTTTTTATAATTTATACTTTACATACACATATATACATTGATATATTTTATAAATGAAATCATCATTATTCACTATTCAATTGGTAAGTTTATTTCAGTTTGATTAGATAATTGGCCTTCATATTTAACAAATAAAAATCTGGGATAATTATTTTAATGTTCACAGTAAAATCTGTTCGTTATGATGGCAACTGAAAAAAAAAGCGACGAATTATGAGTTGAATTTTGTAGTTCCTTGTTGGTAGGATTCAACATCACAGTTGACCAGGTTCTTTTGCTATGTGTTCAACAATAAGGCATTATTCCTACATAGATTATTAATTCATTTGGTGTTAAAATGGTCGACTATTTTTAATTCTTAATGTCAAGAAAAAGGATATTACAAATTCTGATCATTTCTTTCATCTCTGATGAACAATTTAATATCTCTCTGCACTTAATTTTTTAGTAGGCAAATCGTTAATGTCTAAAGCAAAAATTAAAGGATTCGACCCCTAATATGAACATCGACATTCAGATATAAATATAATAGTTTGATGAGTAATATATAGGATGAAGCATGCATTTTGAATTGAATTGATAGTCACATATTTAAATAGAAAACTATTGTGTCGTATAAGATTCCCTAAATGCGAAAGTTAGTATTTATCAGTACATCTATGCATAACTATTTTTCTCTGAATAGAATGGGATGCAAATGAGTAATTTTGTCCAGATTATAAATTCTGCTAAATGATAAACACTAAGCTCTAAGTTTTGTAATATTTTTAGTGCACAATGAAAAGGATCATTTAGAGCAAATAGAGGAAGTATATGATTGATAAATGAATTACTTTAATTGAATGGAAAAAACTTTTCCAAAACAGTGTGGTTGATAAATGTGGTACTTATCTCCATTTAACAGACAAGTTTTTTACAGTCTCAGCAACAGAGACATCATGTGAATACTTCAAATAATTCAAATAATTATTACATGTTCTTTTCAATATACATTTATGTAAGTTTATAAGCTGTGTAAGACAAAGTGATAACGTTTGTCAACTGCATTATTGACATTTAAAAATTTAAGGAACTTAGAAAATTGTTTATTGCTGAGTAGTTGCTATTATCCGTCATGATAGTTTAGTTGTTAAAAAAAGTATTTAGTTTACTTAATTCATCTACAATGAATGTTTAACAATAGATAATCATACTAATGTAGAATAGTATGATAATTTATCTAAACAGTTGTGAGGTTTCTTAAAAGTTTGACAATCATATTAAATAGCCATCAAGAAATCTAACATAGCACAACTAAATTTGTTCAACACTTTCAGATCACACTAAAAGATATAGGCTGAATTCATTTGACATTCATAAAAACTATAGATTTTGAAACCGGTACAGATTTATTACATTAGAAACTTTTCATTTATTGAGAAGATCAAACACACTTAACTCCAATTCTCTGTGCTATTACTTTTGCTCATTAATGAGCAGCTCTGAACTAGTTTGTCACATTTCATTGGATTTTTATTTGTTCTTTTTGTTATATTGTGTCATAAAGTCCATTTTCAAATTATGTAATATTCTCATCAAATCAATTAAATAAATAGTAGTCTATATTTTAAACATACAACGTTAGGATTTGTCTATTTTGTTCTCAAAATTACCCTATGTTTTTATCAATCTTAATGTTTGTTTTATGTAAAAAAATACTGAATACTTTTTCTAATGCATGATGTAATAAAATTCATATTTGACTGTTCATGGTTGATTAATTAAGTGTATAAAATTATTCTACAATAAAATTATTGTTTAGACTGTCGAAATGAAAACTGTAAATTGGATTAAAAAATATGCGCGTGAAACTAATATTTAAAAATTTTATTAATAATTTATTGATAAGTTAAATTCTATTCACGTACAATCATTTTAAGCTTCATTAATTTGTAATTCTTATCTAATTTGTAAATACTACAGAAATTCTTCTATACCATAAATTTTAAGAAAGAATATAATCTTATCTGTTGATTAAAGAATATTTACCAAGAATAATTTGTTTAAAGCAAATTTACTAGTTTATATGGATTATATGAATAGAATACACTGCAATGTGCTTCTAATATTTTCATACGCTTCTTATCAGTATTATATCTTTCTGTATAGATCCTTATTCTTTTTTTCAAACAAATATTTTTAAAAACTAACTATGAGTTCTATGGAAAGAAATACATAGAAAATTTACGCTACAAGCCGAAAATTATGAATAAAAACTTCTATGAAGAGTTTGACGTTTATTTTTTCGAGTTCAGAATTTCTCAATAAAACAAACACTTTTTAATGGTTAAATTTGTAACGTTTCGCTGGATTAAATTGAAGAAAGTTTATAATAATAAATTATGCAGTCATTTTCTTGAGCATACTCTTTTTAGATAAGATAGTGTTTAGTAAAGATACAAGTATTAGTTCTTCTTAAAATAATCTCAGAAAAATGGCCTAAAGTGAAATTTAATATTTATTGAATGATTGGTAAAAGGACTTATTAATTAAATACTCATTTCCTTCATCAAGAAGCAGTTACATTGACTTATCTCCACTACTGTAATCTTCTCTTCAATGGTAACCTGCATGAAGATCAATTCTTGGAGTCCTAGTAGGGAATCTAGAATCCCCTCATTCCGGGAGTAAAACAGTCACTCCAAAAAGCAATATATCATTAAGTTGTTATGTAAATCCTTGGATGTTGAGTAAGTATTCTAATGTGTAAGAGTTTACTACGAAAACTGAAAGTCCTAAATTGATGTGAAAATTTAATTCTAAAGAGTCTCCTAGTAGAAAGAGACAGATATTCAGCTCCCCTTGAACTTTAATTACATCACAGTTTCGGTTAGTTCATGACAAATTTACCTTTTTTCAGCTCTGTATGATCAGTAATAAATCAGGATTTTAAAAGAATATTATGTCCAATTTTATTGTACTCATACTATTATTTCACGATCCTTCTAAGCGAATTATCTTCATTTTCTTTAAAAGAAGGATAGATAACCTTATTCTATTTAACTCAATAGAAGTTTTCTGTTGACAGCTTTTTCACTCAGCCATTAAAACCTTTCAAATTATTTGTTTCTGTCATTCTCTAACATTTTCATTGTTATCATCGAAATTGTATTACTATCTACTGCAATATCGTGTATATATATTTGTTATATCTAAGCATGCATGAATCTATTTTTATACATACTTTAAAGATAAATGTATGACAGAAACAATTTACATGACATGAAAAGAATCGTTGCTCACAAATAACTGCTCTATTGATCTGTATCTTAATAAGCCTCCTAGTTTGTCACATCAAATAATTTACAAAATTTGACGATTGTAATTTCTAAACTATGAGCTATCGTTTGTTAAACCATACTTACTATAAGCCTATAAAATTCTGATTTCTGACATTTTATTCAAATCAATTATGTCAGTTTATCAACCCTGATGATTTAGAACACTGTTAACATTCTTTACATTCTTGTTTAGCCTAACCATAGTCACTTTGCTTGAAGGTTGGCTTTCCAGACATATGTATATTTTTTTATATACATAGTCACAGGTATATGTTGTGTGTTTATTGAAAAAAGAGCGGTTGATTGACTCAGTCATTATAAATTGAATTAGGAATCCAAATCCCTACATGAAAGAATATTAGAAAATATCTTAAACATTTCTTAGTCTTAACAAAGTATTATGCTAACGTACAAAATATTTAGTACACAAACTTAAAATAGCCCTGAACTATTCAAAATAGTTGAATTATTGTAGATCATTTATCAGCCGAACGAAATAAATTTACAATTTATCGATCAATGAGTAGTAACCGATTTCACGATTGTCTTTTCTTTTGGTACTGATTGAGTTCTGTTGATGAAGCCGCAATATGGCTTCTAGTCTGAGTATTTCAACATCGCATCCACTATGCTGAAACGCTAGATGATTGAAGGTAGTTGACAGAAAACCAAAAGCCTATGTTTTGAGTGCCTGAGAACTTGAGGGGACTAATGCTCCATATGAGATTACGATCAGTATCACCCGAATCCATACTCACACGTCGCTACTAAACTATCCAGTTCTTTAATGACTTGGTATTTTACTGAGATTACAATTAACTTATCACTATATCATTATGTCTATATTGGTAACTAAAGAGTAGTTCCTATCACTTCAATTGTTTTTAATTAAGTGTCCTTGGGATTTTTAAGATCCAGTATATCAACTATGATTTATGAAATGAACTGTATGTGTCTGCTATTGACTTTCATTTTTAATAAATAGATTTACCAAGTGACATTGAATATCTTGGCTCTGAAGAAAAACCTGAACGTTTATTCATGCATTCAAGTTTACACTTGGAAACATGTACTGGTCCATGTGCTAATCCATTTATAGAAGCTCGATTGGAACTTGGATCAGCTGTAATTGGTCAGAATCTAGTTACAGCTAATCCACAATCATGCCGACATGATCCAGCAAGTATACGAAGGCAACAGAAATTTTGTGGTAATTATATTTATAACATTTTGTTCGTAGTTTAAATGAATAGAGTGAATGACATAAATTAAGTTAATCAAATCTTATATAAGAAATGTACTGTTAATTCATTATCATCTTCATTGAATAATTTATTTATGGAACAATTGTTACATTTAGAAAATTTCATTTTCTTTAGTTGAATATCACAACCATTAGTCATATTCAATTGAATATTGTTTGGTAACATGAAATCATAATAAAATTCTCATTTTTTAAATATAACTCAAAATACTTTACGATTTGGATTAAAATAGTTCATAGAACTTACAATTACTTTTTACATTTATTTATTGTTGATTGGAGGAAAAAAATTAGTAACTTCGTCACATACAATCAATTTAAATGGCATCATTCACAGGAAAATTTGGAACATTACTTTGTAGTAATATCAGTGAAAGTTATATATATATATATATATATATATATATATATATATATATATATATATATATATATATATATATATATATATATATATATATATATATATATATATATATATATATATATATATATATATATATATATATATATATATATGAAGCATTCGTTTATTGATTAGAATGTTCATCTTCCGGCTATTAGTTCAGAGGGTGAAACCTAATTCTGTTTACTTTTGAATGACCAGTCATATAGCATTATCAATCGTATTACAAACAAGGTTGCGCGAAGCTAAAGATATAGACCTATAATTGACTAAACGAGGCTAGGCGTTCGCAGGTATACCGAAGGTCCTGGGTTCGAATCCAGCGAGATACTGGAGTCGTAGATGCGCACCGCTGAAGAGTCCTACACCAGAACGAAACGGCCGTCCAATACTTCCAGGTATCTAATGGTGGTCTAACAATGATTGGTTGATGATTTCAATGTGCAAAACACACTAATCTCCATAACTCAAATCGAAAAATGATTTACATAATATCATTATTTATATATTTACTAATCTATGGTTTGAAAACAAGCTATTTATTAGAGATGACTTTAAATCAGCCCAGAAAGATCAATTTATTTTACTGGATACCACGTTTAACAAGCTATTCACAAATTGTATAAAATCAAATCAGTCAATTGAAATTTATTATAGTTATACAATATCAAAAAACTTACTTGGGAAAAGACATTTTAACTTTGTCTGGGAATAAAACTATTCATGTTATAGTTAGTTTATAATACTGAGAACGTTTGAACAAATTCTAAGTGGAATACCGTTGCATGGAATTTACAGCTTTATTTCGTAGTTCTACATCATCTTATCAAACTATTCTTTTATACCCTTTTTTTTAATTTCAAATATTTAACTCTAATTCAATTTATAAAACTTATTTTATCAGTGAGAATGTTTGTTACTGAAAACTTTTATACTATTTACAATTGATGATGATTAAAACAGTTCTATGGGAAAACACTTCATCACTTTATAATGAAATTTCGATGAGACAACAATAATTTTTTATGATTATAATTTTTCCGTTTCCAATTTCGTTTTTCAACTGAACACGACGATATTATACATGTATAATTATATTGTATTTAGATTTGAATCCAACAACAATTACAAATCTTCTACCGGATCCTGAGTATGATTTAGTGAATCAATTAATTGGACCAGTATTGAATAGTCCACCACGTTTAATCCCGTCAGTGCTTGCTTGGCGATTTGATCCAACTTTATCAACTGTATGGGAGATTGATGCAGATCGATTATATAATTATACAAAATTACCAATCCATTGGGATTCTGATTTTACAGTGACATTTTGGCTTAGACGACATCATATACAAAACAATTTAAGAACAATAAATAATGATGAGAATGAAGAATCCATTCTTTGTAGTCATGATAATATTGGTTAGTAAAAATGAAATAATCACTTTGAATAATGGTCTAATCTTTCGTTATGGTTTTAAATTGAAATTTTACTGCAAAACAAGTTTTAATTTTAACTAAGTTTATATGAACTTATGAAATGTAATTATTTAATTTGTTATTAATTATTGAAAAAAAATCAAATTGAAAACGAAATATCTGACTATCAGATGTAAATTGATTAATTTACTAGAAATTATTTTAAGGATATTTATTTGACTTAAAGATATTTCTTGTCATAAACTAAAACCTAGTGAAACAACCCTCAAATACATTGGTTAATTAGTTTTAACTTGTTTGAGACTTGTCGACCGTTTGTACTAATGATTGAATTTGGAATTAAACCTGGAACCATGAAGTTTAACAGAGGTTGCAATACTTATGAATTAATGAGTTGTAATCGATGGATTCAATCAAGTTAAGTGTTCTGCAGATATTAACTAATACAGTGAACACTGGTTGACCTGTAACACAACTAGGCTCAGTAGTCTTATGAACTATGTTTAGACTAAGATTTGTATGTCATGAGTTAGATCTTATTCAAGATCATGAGTGACCACAGGTGAAGAGTCTGAAATTCAAACAAAGTCTCTCCATACTGTTATCTAGTTTTTTGCACATTCTCTAAATGAAATCAGTTTGTTCAGAAAATTATTTTTAAACTACACATCATTCCAAACAGTTTTACCTACCTGGTGTTTTCGTTTAATAAGTCTTGAATTCGAATTAATCCATGTTAAAATGTAGTTGTTTCATCTAAGTGAAAGCACCAGTAGAAATAGGAGGCATTTCTTGTTGATCAGCTTATCAATGACATCATTAACATACTAATTAAAATGTGGTTTGTAGGTTGGAGTTTCTCTTTTTTGTGCTACCGCAGGAAAAGTAATGCTGTCCTAAAAATTCAAATCTGGTCTTTTAAAGGTACTATTATGATGCTACTTGAATCATAATCTGTATTATATGTAACTTAAATGTTTGCACTAATCGATCCCATAGTGATAACAGTTTCAGGGGTTCTATCCCTAACAGAATTCATGTCAGTTAAGTTTTAAAGCAGACACTAAGTTATGTAATTATAACACTAAGTGACTCAAAATTGAGCCGTAAAAAATATATCAGTTCCAATAAGATTATAGATACATCATATTCATGGAATTCTTTCAACTGCTTCCAAATACATAACATCGAAGAAAATGAAATTTCTATTTCAAATCACTTAAAAGGATGGGCAAATTAAAGCTGTCAAAACTAACTACATAATACATTGACTGACAATAAGCAACCAATTTCTAAACATATATTTAAAAAATTATCTTATATTCTGATAGAACAGTGAGAAGACGTAATTGATCTGAAAAATGTGATGTATTTGCGCTGTACATTTCGAACAATCTGGTCACACATATTTACTTGTCAAGGCATTTTATATGAAGATGAATAAAACTTACTTACTTTCGCCTGTTACCCCCAATGGAGCATAGGCCGCCCACCAGTTTTCTCCAACCAACTCTGTCCTGGGCTTCCCTCTCCAGTTCTCTCCAATGTTTGTTCATTCCTCTCATATCTTTCTCTATTTCTCGGCGTAGTGTGTTCCTTGGCCTTCCTCTTTTCCTTTTGCCTTGAGGGTTCCATGTGACGGCTTGTCTAGTGACGCAGTTAGGTGCTTTTCGTAGTGTATGTCCTATCCACTTCCACCGCTTCTTCCTGATTTCCTCCTCCATTGGAATCTGACTTGTTCTCTCCCACAGTTCGTTGTTGCTGATGGTGTCTGGCCAACGAATACGAAGCATTTTGCGTAGACAACTGTTAATAAACACTTGTATCTTCTGGATGATGGCTTTGGTAGTTCTCCATGTTTCGGCTCCATACAGTAGAACTGTCTTCACATTTGTATTGAAGATCCTGATTTTGGTTTTGTATGAAAGTTGTTTGGAGTTCCAGATATTTTTCAACTGTAGAAATGCAGCCCTCGCTTTGCCAATCCGCGCCCTCACATCTGCGTCCGATCCACCTTTCTCGTCGGTGATAATTGTAAATAAAGGAGAGAGAAAATTAACGTAATATGAAAAGAATAAGAAAGGGTAGGAAAATTGTCACATTACCCTAGGCTTAAAGATCACCAAGGTAAATTCAAGGTTATGACAAATTGTTACTGCACACAGAAGGGGAATTTTAATTTTCTAATAGCCAAGGCCTCCATAAACCTCAAAATTCGTCAGATGAGCCGCTTAGCGTTGGAAATAGAAAACCATGTTCATCGATCGCCAAACACATGATTGAGACAGGGCATAAGATTGGCATCAAGACAGCCTTCAAAACATTGTATAGAAATGTTGAAGGACGAATTTTGAGGTTTATGGAGGCCTTGGCTATTAGAAAATTAAAATCCCCCTTCTGTGTACAGTAACAATTTGTCATAACCTTGAATTTACATTGGTAATCTTTAAGCCTAGGGTAATGTGACAATTTTCCTACCCTTTCTTATTCTTTTCATATTACGTTAATTTTCTCTCTCCTTTATTTACAATTATCACTTTATGTCTATTTGAACTTTTCAACCAAAAAAGTTATACTTTGTAGATTTTAAATTTTTTTTTGAAAAAAACTGTCATGCTTAAAATTAATTTCATAGTCATATTCTGTCTGTATCTCTCTAAATAATTACTCTATGCTCTGGAATAATTTTATGCAATAAATTCAGTGTAATGGAATATTTCATGCATAAAATACAAAATTAATTCACTTTAAATTTTATCTTGTTTTATGTTAAAGAATCTGAATGGAGATATTTATCAATAAATTTACGTGGATGTCGATTTATAGTAAGGATTATGTCATCGACAAGTAACGAACCGAGAAAATCTACACTTTTTGTATTTGATCCATTACCCGATGTGATTTGTTCTCAAACAACCGGTCATGATGATGGAATATGGCATCATTATGCAATTACATTTAGTTCATTATCATCACCGTCAACATCTTCAATAAACAATGATCCAATTACCATTTTAATAGATGGACAAGATTTAGATATTAAAGTTATGCCGACTGTTTATGAATCATTACAAACCTCTTCAAATCCTTTCAGCTATCCCGGAAAACCAAGGTATGTTTAAAAGGAAATCTAAGCGTCATAACTGTGTAGCATAATAATTTATTGTCAATACCAAAAACACAATAAAAAGAATTCAAGCAAAATTGTATTAGGCACACTAATGAAAATGACTTTTGTCTCTGAAAATCGAAAGTAAAATGATTTCAGAAGTATGAAATGGATCAATTTCCTATGATATGTGCTACAATTTTTGAAGACAATAATGGTTATTTACATCATTATATATACATATATATATATATATATATATATATATATATATATTATATATATAGCGAGAGAGAGAGAGAACCCAGCTGAATAGATGTATTCACTTTAAAAACAAATCTAGTTCCTAATTTGTGTAAATTACATTTACGATTATATTTTATTGTCCTATAAAGATCGTCGTCATGAGCTTATCCAAACTACACAAGTCACATATAAAACACCATTAAAAGACAACTCTGTTCCCAAGCGTTTGAAACAGAAGATACTAGGTTCAAGACTCAAATATGGTGAAATATGCATCATGAATTTCACTATAAGCCACATATCCAACATACCAAGACAAAAATGTTTCTTGGTGATAAGTGATCCTTTTTATTAATTTAGTATAAGAATTATTAAAAGTAAGGGCTCAATAAACAAAAAAATGTTAGACCATAAATGAAACAAGATTATATAACATTTCAGCATTGTACATTGTAAAAGGAAAAAGGAAAACACTCGAGCTCATTTTTTGTTACTTTATAGCTAACAAAAGGCTCATTAAGAAGTAATTAATAAATACTGCTATGTTGATAATTAATATCGAATACATTACAAAGCAATCACGTATTGTATTTTCTAGCGACCCAATAACAACCAAAATATATTCGATACTTAGAATTAAACAAACTAATATGGCTTACTACCATTTATTACTATTATAATTAAAATAATATATAAGTCAATCAAATAAATGGATGATTTATGGATGAATTTAATTCAATTCTTTAAAATTTGTTGATTCAAAAATAAACTAACTACAGGAAAGATGATTTGATAATCGGGATCGTTTACTTACTTCGTTTTATAGATTATTACACCACTGCATATCTGTTGATTATTATTAAAAATACGAAAAATATATTACGATTATGATTGTTATTTCATGGCACTGAAATGCGGTTTATACCCTTAAACTAATATAGATCTTTTATTTAATTTTTTTTGTAGACTTACAATTGGCGCATGTTATGATCCTCAGACACATTCCACAAGACAACATTTACATGGAGATTTGACTGGTCTCACGTTATTACGTGACAAGTTTGAATCACCAAATACATTAAGATGTATTAGTCAATGTGGTGAAGCTTTACTCATTCCAAATGTGATGGAGGTAACTTCCTCTTTCACATTATTTAGTTTTCATTTATTATGTTACATTCATTTTATGATCGATTTACTAATTTCAGTCGTTATAATATGATTACCATAATGAAAGCTTAAATTTAATTCAATACAGATTCTTATCAAAATCATAAACTGATCAACGAAAGGATAACAGTGAAAACTTAGAAGCACTGGATGGCTGTTTCATCCTCATGTGGGACTTCTCCTAAAGGTTAAGAATTAGCGCGTGATATCGAAGGTCCTAGGTTCGATTGCAGTGATTAGAGTAGTGGATTGGCACTCCTGAGAATTTCCTTACCAGGACGATATGGCTACCCAGTGCCTGCAAGTTCTCGATAGTGGTCTAAGATTTATTGGTCCACCATTTCAATAAAATCCTATGATTCACAAACTCCTATACTGATAATTTTTATTTCAGAGAGGGAGAAATCGATTAGATAACCTTTTCGTTTTCTATAATATTAACTAATCTCGAACAACTACTGTAAGCCAGAAAACAATGAACAATTGTTTCCTCTTGCCGTGCAACTCCTTAGCACGGCTGTACCACCGAGCTCTTAGCCGCTGGCTTACTGAGTAGACATCTTACGATGTCGATGGCTTGTACAATTACTTCGTGTTTAACTGCATTCTTACACTGATGGATTTATGGCAACTATTAGTTATTTCTGCAAAACATTATTGAATTGGTCAAATTAAATAGATTTACAAATCTGAATATTTTATTATAGAATTATTGATTTCGGTTGTCAATTGAATCAGATGTAAATACTGCTAAAAAAAACAGAAATGGAGCAGAAAAACTTTTATTATTGGTATTACTGTCGTGTGTTCTTTTACTTAACTGATATCTTATTCAAATCTCACATATTATCATTAATTATCACTCACTAAAGTAACAATTTGACCAAAACATGAGAATACTTAATGATAACCAGTATAGTACAATCTTTCCGCTTGTTGATGTTTAGGACAGACAATGATCAGTCTTCATTCGGATATACATATACACTAAGAGAATTATGCAAGCTAGTAGTTATCTGGATTCGATTATTTCATGTATAACTAATTGACATTTGAATTAAAAAGTACAGGTTTCGAGTTTCACAGTAATCATCTTTTATTCTTAAACGATAAAGAAGGGCAAAGATTCTAGATTCAATTTGATTACAAAAGAATTTTCCAAAGTTTATTCACACTAGAAAGGAAATATAGTCAAACTAATAGCACATTGTTAAAATTTTTAAAAATTATTATATTTTATAATTGAAATTATTCATATAAATAGCGATGATAACAATAAGTGTATTTTATAGAAACAGTAAAGATCATATTTTTTCTTATGATTAATTAAATTAATTTTTTCTATTTCAGTAAATATGAAATAAATGAGAAATGTATATATTTTAAATATATATTCAGTTGTAAAATAATAATTTATTTCAAATTAATTATTAGAATCAAAAGATAAAAATGAAATTTTACATTTATTGACTTATCTTTGTAAAGAGTAGCCTCCTAGTTTACACTGATTCTTTACGTGAAATTAATTTACAACTACAAAATCCGTAAACATATTACCCAAAAGTACTTGATTTTTTTTTAAAGTTTTCTTGCTTCTACCTACTTTTTTCACAAAATCTCATCATTAACTTGTACAGTTAAAAAATTGATCCTTAATCAATCGAAATTATCTACTTATTTATTTACTTGTATTCTCAACAAATGTTACTATAATATAATGAAAACTGATAATATTTACTTTTGTTTGATTAATGTATATATCACCTGATCACCAAAGCTTATGATAAATATTAGTAGAAAACAATGAATTAGTATTTTAAATTCATGTAAAATGAAGACAAGTGACTAGAAAAATTTGATCACTACTTATTTATTACAATAACAGGTCTTGAAACTCATTCACTTGAATTTAAAAAAATCACTGTTTGTGATACTATTGTCATAAATAACCATGTGTTTATTATTTAATTGTAAATATTATTTGAATCGTCATTCTGTTAACGTTAAGAACTGTAATTGATCAGTTACGATTGGAATATAAACATCCCAAGTGGATTACCTTATTAGTTTCATTTGGTTAGAAGTAAGTTATATAATAATTACGAGTAAAATTCAGAATGCTTGTTTCATCTTTGTCAGCTGACTATATACATCACATCTCAGTGTAAATATCAACACTAGAATGCAGATACCTTTATTTGAAAAGTCTCGGATGAAAAGAATTAGGCCTTAATTATTGTACTTATTGCACTGTACAACTTAATTCGACGAAGAAAATCTAAATGAAAAGCAAAGAATTGTAAAAGTTTTAATTCTAGTTAATGTTAATACACTAGTCATTTGATCAGTTAGCCATACACACCAATTTGTATGTCATACTAAGTCAAAGAATAGCAATTAGAGATAATTAACAAAACTAAACAACATTTTAAACAAAATGCAAACAGTGATACACTATTTATTTACCTAGCTAAAGTGATAACAATATTTAAACATTTGAACAAGACTAAGGGCTATTCTATTATGCAATGTGTTGTGACTGAGTAGAACATCGATTCATGAAGAAGTTTGTCATTTAATTTTAAATAGTATCGCAGTCTGAATTCTATATTAAATCTACTCAAAAATAACAAAGTTTATTTAAAAAGATTGTAAAACCATGAATTTTTAATTTTACTTTTCTGGTGGCTACACCTCATGGTATAAACTTATTTAAATATTTTTTCGTTATGTTCAATTTTTTTCTACAGGTATTATGTCCAGATATTGATATACATTTAGAAAATGATGTAATTACTGTAAGTGGACAAAATATCATGCATGTGACTGATGTGTTAACTTCAATTTCTTATGCAAGACCTCAACCAGGAATTAGTGTGAATTATGTACCAAATGTGGCACAATCTCGTCTATTAAGATTATTAACATCATATAGGTAATTTTATTTCATTTCATTTTGTTTGAAACTTGTTTATTTGAATAAATTTCGAATATTTAAAGCCCTTTTTAAAACTTCCGCCTAGAGACCTTCAGGGTTTGCTATCAGCCCCATGGAATTCGTGACCCTATCTCGTAGAAAACCAACTTTCCAAAAAATTTGCTAATCAGAACAAAAAATCTGAAATTAGTCTTTATCAGAAAATGTTGAATCAGTGTTACGAATATATTCTAAACTTCTGATGATTATGTAAAAGACATTGGTCAAAAATTTGCGAAAAACTAAATATAATTCCTTTTGTTAACTTGTAAAGTATCAATAGTTTGCTTTACCAAAATCATGAATCTTCTGCATATAGAAATGTACAATTTCCTATTTAAATTTTAATACTTATCCATGAGAAGATTAGTTGAATGGAAAAGTGCTAATAAACGAATATTGTTTTTCCAATTTAAAAAAATTAACAGTTAAAGAAGTCAAATTTAAACATAATTGAAATTTAATTTACCTTATTATTTATTCGTCTGTGATTCAAATCTAGATTCCACTTGCGTTACACACTTTATTTAACTTCTTTTCATACTTTTAATATTTGCAGAATTATTTTCACCTTCAATTGTATTCTCAAAAATATTATTTTTTTCATTTATACGATTAAACATGTATAATTTTATCATTCTGATTTTGTAGTATAATACAAGTACATTTATTAACTAATAACAAATATATTATTATATGAAATCTGTTGAATTAATTATGATAATATTTATTTAAATATATTATTTCGAATATAAACTAGGTGACATTTGAATCAACATATTGATTAGTATTGATAGCAGAGTATCAATTTTCAAATTTTTTTTATTCCCACTTATATGATGTAACAAACTTATCTTTAAGAGATATCTTTTTTATATGCATATTCAATTTCAAAAAATCCCTGAATTTACATCAAATCAAAACAAGCTCTAATAAATACCGAATCTCACAGTTAGTTATTTTTAAATTATTTAAAGGATTTCATAATATGACTAGATATATATTCAATGAAAAACTTTTTATCAAAATTATTTTGCATCAAAATTAGATTCAGTACATAGTTGTAAATATGTTATATAATTAAATTTGATGGAAGGTGAGCAATATATACTGGTTCATTGAAAATTTAAGCTTTCTCAAGCTTTGATTAATTAAACAATATCAACAATCCATTGAATACTTGTAAGAATAGATTTACTATTAGAAACTTTGTGAAAAACTAATTTCATGCGTATTATAAACATTGAACATTTAATCAACATATAATAAACAGTACACCGATACCCTAGATACCCAGAATATTATATAATTAATTGATTGTCTAACTACTAATAGATAAATTCGATTTAATTTTATTTGAAATTTTTTTCATCTTATTGAATTATACTTGAAAATAATTTATAGTAACACATCAGCTATTATTTACATAATATTCAAATAATTACGAGTTGATTTAGTAAAAGAATTTTGTTTTAATGTGATTAAAACCTATATCTAGATTATTGTTTGTCTTTTAAAACGAAATTGAATCTTTCCTCATTGAACAAATCGATTTTTTTAATAAAATTCGACAAAAAATATGACTAATGATAGATATTTCAATATAATTATCCTTGATATTTATTTATGTAAGGTTATTTTTATCTGTTGATCGGAATTTAGATTCACTAAAAGTTACTTCAACTGAATGTTTTAAATGGGGACATTATAGAATTTACAATAATAACAATCCGGTGTTGACAAGACAATCAACATTAACACGGTAGCTGTCAATGTTTTTCTGCTACGGTTCAAACACTAACTGTTTAAATATTCCCATTTGTTTTTTACTTCATTATTAATTAAATTAGATGTTCAGGAGACCAGTCATTTACTATACCAACTGCGGAGATAAGGTTGAATGTTCTACCTATGACGGTTACAGACCTCTTGAGGACATCTCATCATGATTTATCTGATCAGATCTCTCAATCGAATAAGGATGCTTCTTTATGGGTCCCTGCTAATATGCATGTTCTCGATCGTCCAGGCATATCTCAAGCCATAGTGGAATCAAGAAATAATTATGATAAAAACTCAAAACCACTTCAGCCTCCATCGTTAATTATTCTTGGGTCAGACATTGTAACCACTGAGCCACCTATTAATCCACCTGGAATCCCTCTATTTTCAGATCTTCGTTTTGGGCTTCCAACAGAACAAGGTAATTTAATGATACACTGTCTCTTATTCACACTGGTTTAAATGTCGCTAATTAATACAAAATGACAGCCCACTATAATTTATGTAGCAATACTAAAATGCTTGCTGGAATGATGTTTATCACTTCTCTCACCTATTATTCAATTATTATTTATATCTTTTCACTTTGTAAAAGTTTGGTTTTTGCTTATTTTACTTTCACAGAAGTTGATTTTCAAAGAGTTTTCTCACATACTACGAAAAAATTAAACTAATGTAAACTAATTTAATCCAGTCGATAATCGCCTTTCTTAAAAACATTATTTTATTCTATATAATTCTATCTGACTAATTTATATTTATATATTTGATTTAATTATCACCTATCAATTCAACCTTAATCAAATTATTCAAGTATTACTTGATAGAAAGTATAACAATGAATAAGTGATTGACTATTGAGCTATTGTTATACATTGTAATAAGTATTGGCAAAGCTCTTGGAAACCAAGGCGCCTAAAAATCAAAATAAAAGTGGAATGAATCAACATCTAATGTAGTGAAATTGTTTTTTGAATTACAATGCATTAAACTGATGTGTAAAAAACGTATCTATGTATTTCTAGAAAACATTATTCATAGCTTCATATAATTACTCCTACCAAGACCTTTTGTAATCATTTCCGATTTTTTAAAAACAACTTTCCATATCAACTTTAGTAAATTATTTCGGTAATTTAATTCAGTTATGGTACATTCATTATCATTCATTCATGTATGTTGCCCCTTGTGCAGCATAGGCCGCTTATCAGGACTCTTCATCTGCGATGGTGTATTTAACAGTGTAAGCAAACATAACAAACGATGGGAGTTTAGTGTACCATTACACTGATGGTCATCACAGTCAAAATGATTAATGAACAATCCTAAAAACGATCGGGTATATATTGGTTATCTTTATTAATAAGTTAGGATTTTCATTGTCAACTATGTATGATGTTACCTGTAACTCACCAATAAAATTGAGGTAAAATCTTAAGATGTTTGAAATTTCAACTACCGAATCTCAACTCACTGAATTATTTTTTCTAATGTAAGCTCCAAGACCTTTAGGTCCTGAATTTTATCTGTATTGTGGTTCCCGAAAATGACTACTGATGAACACCAAACTAGAAATGGGACAGCTTCCGGTGAACTCTACGTCTTAACATTTCAGTACTTAAAATCATCTCATGAGTAATGATGTCTTTAAATTAAAATGTAATTTACAATCCTCTGGAATAAATAATTCATTTTACTCACTGACTGCTAGCAAACTAAATATTTTAATCTTTCGGTTTGGTTTTGTATTCATTTTCTAGTTTCCGATTCATTGAGTTCTTCACAAGTTGCTGCAGGTGTACCATTGGATGATTGTTTTGTATGGCTTATCTCAACTGGTAATCCAATCAGTTTAAATATAAGACCAAAATTATATGAAGAATATGGTGCACGTATTGACTGGCCGGTAGATGAAACTCAATCAAGTCAATTAATTGGTATGGCCGATCGTACTGGAATACAATTAAGAGGACGTAAACCGGCTTTAATCTATGCTAATCTATTACAAAAATTTCGATTTTGGCCACCAAAAAATATTCGTTCAATGCAACTCGTTGATACAAAGACAGAAATAATTTATATGGCTAATATTGGTCTTGTGTGTAGTCTAGATAGTGGAAAGCAAACAACACCGGAATTTGTTGTAAAAGTATGTTACTGAATATTAGTCAGTATTATTACTGATATATTTACCCAAATTAGACGATTAATAGTAATCAGTGTTATATTTTTCCACTAAAATCATGAGCTGATCAATATTAGACCATCATTAGAAACCTGGGAGCATTGAATGGCCGTCCCGTCCTAGTATCGGACTCATCAATAATGCTCACCTATGACCCTGGATGTGGGAATGGAAGCCAGAACCTTTAGTCTCATGCACAAACACTTGACCTCTTGACCACTGGGCCCGAAACCAAAGGTGTGAATGTTCAACTTCAACCAATCTACAATACTGCGCAACTTCATCCACTGTTTTTGGTGGGTAAACTGCATGAAACCTCACACGGCTGAAATTCAGTGATCACAACTTATCACTATAAGCTCGAGAATTTTCTCATAAAACTAGTCAATTGTGAGCATATCATCACTGTCAGTAGAGAGTTAAAGAGATTGTTGCATTTCATCTTCACAACCCTATACTAACAGTTGTATTTCTGTCTTTCGTACTAAATAAAATCTGATGACGAATGATAATTTTAGACTTTCAGGATGAAGTAATATAACTTGAATAATGAAATCGTTCTGAACATAACCGAAATACAAAGTTCCTTACCATTCTTTAAGCAAAAACGTTTTACTCCTTGACATAGATAGAATCTTCATTCTAGAATTGTGAAGATTATTGAATTACATCGAAATCGTGAACTGATCTTTGTTAGACCATAATTAGAGCACTGGACATCCGTTTCATCACCGTATGAGATTTATCAGCACTGCGCATCCATGATAACTGATGCATTACTTCAATGAAACCCAACAATCTCAACAACTTCTATAATGAAAATCATAAAATGTGCTCATTAGTGACTCGCTTCGTGAGAAAATTCTCGGAGTTGCGGTGATAAACCGTGACTAGTTGCGTTTGACCATGTTGGGTGTGAGAGAGTTACCCACCAATGACAATGGGTGAAATTTCTCGATATCTTGGGTCAACTGAAGTTAGACTTTGACATCGTCGGATTCCGGCTCACTAGTTTATAGGTCAAGTGTACATGGGTGGCACTGAAGTACATGGGTTCAGTTTTCGCTTTCGGGGTCACAGATACGCACTTCTGATGGGTCCCAGATTAGGATGAAACGGCCGTCCACTGATTGTGGGTTTCTAATGTTAGTCTAACAATAACCGATTCATGATATGTATAGAATCGTCGTATATGAAATATCTATAAAAAGAAACTTTTGTTAATGCTACCTGATTCTTTTTTTAAAAAATTACTTCCTTTTTTTATTCAGATTGTTATTCAAGGTAAAGGTGCAGAGACAGTCTCACTTGTCAATGAAGTCGGTGCATTTATTTCAAATCAATCTTTATTATCTCATCCTAATCCAGATACGGTTCACTATGTTTTATCTGATCAAGAACGTATTGAATCAGGTGATAAATCATTAAATCGTCTACGTCTTATTAATCCAACTGATTATGAATATGAGACAACAGATAAAAAGGTTAGATTATTCACCATCTTATATGCTGAAATTGAAGTGATTGAGTGAGACAATTTATTTCAGTCATCCTATCATTTCTTAATATCTTCGTTTTTCGGGGCTAAAAATACTTTCTATCATCTCATATAATTATTTGTTCTCTTCTTACCTTACATATTTAGTGTTTTCCTTACTGTTAAAGAATTTATCACATTTTGATCATTTCAACAAACCCCTATTTTTCGATTAACAAAATATACACATAAATATTAAATTACATTATTTGACTGTAGTGTCACTTTGAATAAGAGAAATTTCGCAACGAATTTTATGCGCCAAAAATTATCCGTTGACTTGTTTGCTTGTTTGTTAAACAAATCCTGGTGATTACTGACTGTAACGAATCGATTTTTTCGGTAAAGTAAATGAGAGTTTCACAATATTAGGGTCTCGAACTGTGTCAAAAGAAAAAGAATACTTTTTGAATTACCTAGTAGGGTTACTAGAAAATAGTATCCATTTATTAAAAAAAACAATTCAACATTTACATCCCATGTTCTTTTCAGTGGTCACCATCATTTTTTTAAATGTGAATACCAGTTCTTTATCTAAAAAAGAATTAATAATCTATATATAAATGTTTTGTTTAGAAATCATAAATTTTGAAGCTTTTCTAAACAACATTTTTCAATTGAATTAATACAGATCATCGGATAACTATGATAAATATGCTTTGAATTCACTAAAATTCATCTGTATTACTTATTCAGGAACATCGAGAAATCGATTTTCTTCTTCAGAACTAAAATATATCCAATCAAACAGCATAGTTAGACATTAACACAGTTAGATGCTCACCCACTAGTCAAGGGGTTAAGTATTCGTGCGCGAGACCGATAATCTTGGCTCTCATTCTCACATTCAGTGTCTTACATGAGCACTATTCATGAGTTCCATACTAAGATGAAACAGCTATCCGGTGTTTTCAGGTTTTTCGTGGTTGTCCAACATTGATCAGTTCATGGTTTAAATAACAGTTAACATGGTTATTGTCAATAGGCTACTGAATCTTTACAAAATTAAATGAGTTGAATAAATCATTTGTCATGAGATATTTAAGACAAACTTCTTAATTTTTTCAATTTTGACTAACTTCTGTACATTAATTTATTCAGTTTAATTATAGCTAATTATGGAATATCGCCTTATAGCCTAATTCAGTTGTTCAGCATAATATTTAATAGAATTTAGCTTATTGAACTGACTAATATAAGAACAGATTGAATAAAGGTTAGGAATGGTCTAATCAAGAAATGACATCCACTCATAAGGCATTTAACAGCGTCTCTTGATCGTTTGAATATACAGACTTCCTAATTCAGACAATCTCAGTGAAGTCACTAACTCCCTCCATCTCTATCTGGTACTTGTTTATGATATGAATAATGAAAACTCCAGTTACACAGTTGTTCTAAATTTTTTAAGTGACTGACTGCTGGAGAAGTCAGTTGACTTTCAAGCTCAAAATATTACTTCACAATGAAACGATTCTGTTTTTATAACTTATATGTCATAGGCTCTTTTAATTCGGCTTCATGATACAGTTACCGGTTTATAGAGATTAACTTTTACCTCTATGAAGAACCGTTTATAAAATGCATATAAAAAATAATTTTTGCTAAAAATGGTGAACTACAAGTGTGTTCACTAAACTATATTGAATTCTATCGGGGAATTTTAATTTTATTACTCATGTCAGTAAACATAGTCCATGATTTTAACTTCTTAAATCTGTTATCTTCAATAATTATCTTCACTAATTGACAATAGACTTCACAAACCAAAAATAGTTAGAACTTCAAACTACTGAAATAATTTTTTAAAATAGAAGTCTATAAATATATACACATTTTTCTTACTGTATTTTTTTAATATCAAATTAAAACTCTTCTTATTTATTTTTATTTCATAATAAAAAATTTTAGTCTCAATACAATTATACTGGTTTAATTATTGGTTTATCAGTTTCTGCTATAATATTATGGACATTAATTGGTGCAGCTATTTGGTATATACGAAACAATAAACCAAGACATCATAAAAAGCCAACACGTCGTAGAAGATTTGCATCACAACCTGCAGATTTTGGTGGTTCCAATTTAAAAACAGATCCAAGTCTTAGACTTACAACTAATCCAGTAAATGACTTACAGGTTAGTTTATGAATTATGATTATAAAATACAATGATATTGTATATCGTCACAAACAAAGAATTTATGGAGTTTTATGAGAAAAAAGGTTGTGACTATTATGAACTTTTTACAAAATGTTTCTCCCGAGGATAATTCGTTTGCTTCAGGAAATATTTGTACATATAAGGTCTGTTGAGATTTTATTTAATTTAAACCAAAACAATAAATTTTTCGCAAGATTTACAGAAGAAAATGAGATTAGCACAAAAATCAGAAAACATTATACAGTAACATTAATGGTTTTTAATTTCCCGTTATTGAAACTCAGGGCTAAATTTTATCTGTATTTATGTAAACTAGTTGAATTTTCTCTAAATAGTCTTTGTCAACAATACTCATAGCTGTCTGAACTCTGTAGTTTAATAGATAATACAATGACGTGTGAAGCAAAAAACACTTGGATCAAGTCTCATTGTAAGCATTAAAGCTTAGGTACAAATTCATCTAGCCGATGAATCGCAATTAGAATGAAATGAGAATTACAGAACTTTACGAGTTAACTAGTCAGACTGTATTGATTAATTTTATTCTTATCTAAATTTTCATTCCTGATCTGATTTAATTTGGCATATAGTTTTGCTTGAATTTTCTTTTGTTCAAATAATGAATAATGCCAACATCGGATGAGTCCCATACTACGAGGAAATGGCCGTCCAGCACTTTCAGGTTTCTGATGATCGATTTATGATTACCTAAATTAATTATCTCATAAACCTATTGACGTCAAATTGATAAATCCTTCGAATTTGTCAGAATATAGAATAAAATCTGTAATGGAATTGTGTCATCAAAACTATTTATTAACTTAATAAAAAATTAAAAAAAGAACCTTATGCCCATATAGATGAATGATTCTCTATGGTGAATATATTCAATATTTCATTAATTTTCTATTGTATTACTCTTGATTTATAATAAATGCTTATTCATTAAATAATATAGAACGTAAAAATTCAGAGGTAACTTAAACACTGCCCAAGGTCAATGTTTTCGAATAATCTGATTCTATTTTCATCATTGAACAGATCATTGCAAACAACTTAGATCTGAATAAGATAATTAGTTTTGTGATTCATTGCTCACTACCTTCTTAGGATGGAAAAAATGACGGAATAATGCACTGATACTTACTTAAGCCTGTTACCCCTAATGGAGTATAAGCCGGCGACCAGCATTCCCTTAACAACTGTCCTGGAGCTTCCTTACCAATTCTATCGAATTGTTATTCATTATGTTTGTATCTGTCTCCGATTCTCGGAGCACTGTGTTCCTTAGTCTGCCTCTTTTTCTTTAGTCATCAGGGTGCCAAGTAAGGGCTTGTCTCGTGATTCATTTGGCTGATTTTCACATTGTGTGTCTCATCCACCTCCGGTGATTTTTCCTAATTTCTTCCTCAGTTGGGATCTGGTTTGTTCTCTCCCACAGTAGGTTGCAGGTGATGGCGTGTGGCCAACAGATTCTCAGTATCTTGCTAAGAGAATTCTCAATAAACACCTATATCTTGTGGATGATGGCTTTTGTGATCCTCCAAGTTTCCGCTTCATACAACGTTTGTATTAAGAATTGTGACTTTGGTGATGATTGAGAGTTGTTTTGAGTTCCAGATGTTGTCAACTTGTAGAAAGCTGTCCTTACTTTGCCAGTCTGCGCCTTCACATCTGCATCCAACTCACCTTGTTTATCAATGATGCTTCCCATATATGCGATTGTTTCCACATCTCCCAAAGCTTTTCTATGAAATGTAATTTGGTTGGTGCATGCTATGCTGTATCGGAGGATCTTAATTTTTCGATTGTTTCTCACTAAAATAGTCACTAATTAACACTATAATTCATCGTATAATTTTTAATTAGAATAGATTTTAGGGATTTTTTTTCAGTAATATCATAGATATAATTATCTATCTAAACTATAATAATTGTATTTCACTTATCCTATAATTAATTTTATTTTATTCTTTACAAAAAGTTAATGAATATGAAAACTAATTCAATGCATGGCATAGATTATTCTTCAACACATTCAACACCTACACGTAATCATTGTATTTATTCACCACCAATGTCAAAACAACGAACTAATCCATTTAATCAGATACCATGTGATGAATTATCTGGTTCCATGTGTTCACTTCCTAATCAAACACCAAGATTAGCTGATCTTGAAGAGTTTGAAGATGAAAGCTACGAATATGACGATGAATTAGGTAATGTAGATCAATTTCACAATCCGAAATATTGGATTACTGGACAAATGGTAAAAAATAATTTTTCAAAAAATTCAATTATCAAACCACATGATGATTTAGAAAAAATGAAAAATTTCAAATCTTTCCATTCAAATAGTTCTCCAATAAAATTAGATCGTTATGAATGGATTGACAATGAGACAGATACAAATTGGCATGAAAAAATTCATAGAAATGGTAATTATGAATTGAAATCGAAAGAATTATTTACTCAAACAACTCATTTAAATCCGGATAATAATGGTAATCATGTTAATCATACTGTTCATGTGTAGAGCACACAATCTTTCAAACAAAACCAATAAATAACATATTAGTCAATTTAAATATGTATTGTCAGTTTTCAATGTTATATCTGTTTTTGTCGATTTTCATAAGCCTGCATGTATACAATTCCCTTCATCAATACAGAAAATAAAAATATATGTTCGTTTATACCAACAAACACGTGGATAAATGATAGAAAACATTTCATTATGCACGCACTCAAGCACACAAAAATGCATATATACATAGATATTGTACTTTTTTAGTGTTTTCCTATCCAAAATATAAATCTACTCCATGCAACGTCATGCAACCTCGTCCATCAATACGTATGCATGTGTTGAAAATAATTATTGTTCCATTATTTTCTCTGTTAGACATATTTTACATATATATACATATATACTTATAACTAAGAAATTATATCTTGCTCATTTCTTTAATTATATTTCATTTCGTATCTTATTCACCTAGTCATATCTAATGCTTTAGACATCATAAATATTTAGTTGCTTTTATTTTCTTCTTTGTTAAATGCAATTTCATTTGATGCAAATATTCCACCTAAATCAATTGTTCACCTTGACCAGTATTAAACCTTAATTTAATAACATTAGTGAAAAACTAATTAAACTGATATACAACACAATTGTGTATTGTATTTTATTTCTTTGACAATTTCATTTTCAACTATTTCTGGTTGAAAAAGGAAAAACGAAAAACAATTTATTACTGTGATCGCTTACATTTGATGAATAAAACATCATACTTAGTTTATGTTGATGATATAAAATTTAAAAAAAATGTATTATTTATCAATTTTATTTACAAATATATATACATACATTGATTGTTGTCTACTTACTGCATTACATGAGTTGGTCGTTGTTGTTTTTTTTCTTACTACATGCACATGAAGACAGAGGAGTTCTGTTGTATGTTGCCTGCGAAGATTATTTTAGAAAATGCAAATTCACCAAGTCATCAACAATATGTTAAAAAATAATATCAAATCTCCTACTAAATATTTTCACTAATATCCCATTTAAAACGAATTCATTAGAGTTTATTCAACAAGGTTCTTTTTTTTAACATAATGGAATTGTATTAACCCCATGCCGAACACTCCGTTAATGGCTTAGAGACACTGGAAGGATTCTATGTTAAGTTAAAAAGTTTACAGACCATATAAAGTGTGATCCGAGAATTTCGCTAGATAAAAAAGAACCATTACCAGCCTATTTTAATGCCTCATTTGAGCATTACTCCTTAGAGGATTTTGTACAATAAATATTGGTGCTAGTGTAATCAAAAGTTTAATCCCATATATTTTCTTAAAATCCCATTTTTTCTTAGAATTATATCATCAGAAATATTGTATATCAGAAATGAAATCTTGTACACATTGTAATTCATTCACTATCAATATAAAATCTACCAAAACCAATCACATCCGGTTGTCATTATGCCTATAATATCTTAATTGAATTAACATTTATCAAGTTCCACTACTTATAAATCGTATGCTGTTTCTCTACAGCGGCGATTTGTTCACCTAAATCATTTATCTTTATTCTATGAAAAAAAATGAAAAGGTTTTAACTGATTTATACAAGTGATTGAAAGAAAAACTAATTCTTTTTTATCAATAATGAATTATTTTACCTAAACTATTCACTTTATTAATTTTGTCGAGAAAAAGAATAAAATTTTGATCAGAACGATATACATTTATTTTATTAAGTTCTCATCAAGTGCTTATAACTTATAATAATGAAAAGATCACAATTACTTGTGTGCCTACCAGCAATACGTCGAGCCTACATAGCTTGTTCTAGCTTTTGGATAAACTAATTAACCTTTTCTGCCCGATTTGCCATTCACACGTCTTCCGACCTTGTCGCTTATAACCTTGTTTCTCTTTATTTAAATATGTCTGTGCATTGCTAACTTCGCTTGTCATATATCTAGCCTATTTTTGTCTGACTACAAATACTTAGTGTTGTTTCATCAAGTGAGTTGGCTCACTCGCGTTCTACGGGTTGCTTCGCTTGGCTTTCACGTTTTGCATTCTACAATTTGTTTGCTAACACGAATGTATTGGAATAAATCCATTTACATGAAACCGTATTGGGCTTCTAATTACCACCATCCTATAAACGGGGGTTGCCTAGGAATAATATGCAGAAATTAAAGGAAAGATTTGTTTCTTAGTAAATTCAATTGTTCGTGCAAATCGAAGTCACATGTCGGGCCATTAAAAAGTATTTTTAATCCGGTTTATAATTTTAATTTTTAAATATTACAGCCTATAAGTAATTAGCAAGAATCTAACGAAGTAAAATGACTTCATATTATAGTGAGTTAACTTAATTAATGTTTTTGTAAATTTTGAGAAAAAAATTAAATTCAAATTGTACCTAAAAAAAGATCTAGAAAAAAAGAAGAGAAATAATACTTAATATAAGTATATTCAAAGAAGTTTTCACTTAAATCAATGGATATTTATTCATGTTTTAAAATCTTGGATACCTATTTTAAACAGCCAACATGACTGAAATGATTTTGATTTCATTTGACATCATATATATGAATAGTTGACAATAGGTAGGGTACATCTTATTTCAGTGAATAATTCCTGATGGACATGAACTAGTTAATATATACTTGAATGAATATTACTGAACTTACTGACAGCCTTATGAATTATCAGAATATAAAATAGAGGGATTCATATCAAATAACTTTCACGGTTAGAAAATGAATACAGTTTAGAAGTATAGTTGGTGTATTCAAACATTCAGGTTGGCGCGCTTTGAAATACAATTTCTACAAGTTTAAACTCACGATGCCAAGAGTTTTGTAGGAATCTTATTAATTACAATGAAAAAGAAGCAACTGCGTTTCCAACTAAATCAAAGTGTCATCAAAATCTAACTTATTTATTAAAGAATATAAACGGTTTGTTTTGTTTCCGGTAAGATTCATTGACTTTATATTCTTAGTTAAATATCTTCAGAACGAGATAAGATTTTCCCATATTTGTGGCATTATTCATTACTCTAAAATACATTGGGAAATTTCATCTATTTTCATCATCTATTTTCTCATCAACTTATTCGATAACTTGAAATCAAAACATGGTGCGAAGAATTTTCAAATATTATTCAAACTACTCACTAGTAGGCAGATTCTAATAATTAATTTAATGTTCAAGAAGGGGTAATTTAGAAATGTTTTCTTTCGTAAAGATCGAACATAATTAGTTTGAATATCTGGAGATATATTCCCTAAAAAAACTCACATACCATATCTTTTGAAGACTTTTATTCGGGAAATAGATGGTAACTTTGACGGCTTCAAGTAGTTATATCATAGAATACAGTTAATAAAATGGGAACTACTGAACGATAAGTTAGCTCCTTGCTGTGAAATCTGAGTGTCCTGGTTTTGTCTACTGATGAAGTTTAAAGTGCGTACTGTTAAGGAGTTTCATACTATGATGAAGCATCTTTCCAGTGTTTCTTGATGTTCAATGCAACTCCGACGCTAGTCAATCTATGACAAATGTCAATCAGTAATTTTACCACTCTCCACGTAATTTATACTCCAAAATTAGAAACTATTCTATTTATCATCGATGAATCGTAACATTTTTCCGGATAAAATGACCCAAATCAATTGGATCTAATCTTAGGAAAAAGTTTTTTTAGATTAAAAAATGCTAAAAGTTAATCTCAGTTATCGGAACTTTCATAAGATATGTTATGTCGAACAAATACTCAGCTCCCAAGGGACTTTTATTTCTATCTCCTCCAGACCACCAGAACAATGTCACTTTCTCCTATCTCACTGAGCTCTAGAATTTACTATTTCAAGGTGATCAATATTTTATTTGTTCTCAAAAACAATGTAATAAGTTTTCTTGAGTACAGCTTTCAGAGTGCTTCTATAAAAATATCATCAAACTCTGCAGCATCTTGTACCTCAACCAGTGTTTAACTTTTTTGTTTATTGCTGATTATTGATTAGAACAAACTCTAAAAGGATATTTGCATGGATTAAGAATGGAAAGAGGCTTTGAACCATTACTGAAAGTACTTCACTTTAATCGCATTCAAAAGGAATAGAGCATAAATACATAATTCACAGATTAGACTAAAAGGCAACTCACTAAAAGCAGAAAATAACGTAGTAATAATAGTTAAAAGTTAATGAAATTTGATGAAGTGAGTTAGAATCTATCAATGTATTTTAACTGGTTCATCTAAACAGAAATAATTGCACTTATGTATGATGTACACTATGTTTTGAAGTTAATGTTAGTGACTCAAACATTCTGAAAATCTCTTCATCGATAAAGCTTTCGATTAAGGTTATCACCAGACCATCATGTTAATTTAAAATATGTTTGATGTCGGAGACAAAATATAAGACGGTGTTGTGTATTCTATGACTCTTATTAAAATGGTCAAAAATTCCCGAAAGCCTGTACTGATAATTAATTTGTATCTTCTGGTACTGTCATTGGTCAGTTCAAAGTTTCGTAATGGTCTGGAGACTTCGCCATGTGCTCTGAAAGACTTAATACCGATCCCGGATGGATTTGCAGACACCTACTTCGAAGAGATCTCATACTTGGGCAGAATGTTTGTCAGATGCCTAAGTAAGGCCAGACTGTCAGATAAAAATTTAAATCCTACAGCCTCCTCAACACCTTAGACGACAATGTATTGATCGTTTACAAACTGGTTTTCCAAATAGCACCTTTGTATATACTGAGACTAAAAAATTCAGTAACACATCGTTTAGTTCATATAGGTCTAAATAGGTGAATTACAAAATCAAATAATTAAAAAGAGAATTATACCAACCTAGTTTTGAGGATTTATAGATCTTGAAAAACAACCACTTGAAATGGATATATCATCGGTTAAAAATTATACAGACATATTTTAACTACTCGTAAGTACCCAAAGTATATTTGTAAAATTTCCTGGTTCAATTAAGACATCACCCTTAAAAAATTACCTACACATGGATATCTAGAGAAAAATACTATTTGTCTCATTGTGACACGGATGAAAAATTTTCAATAAGAAAATATATTTAGAGTGTTTCCAAGTTTTCAACACATCGTCTTTGATTATCTCAAAGCTGATATTAGGAATCTTCGTTTAGTATTAATGATTTGTAGCAATTGTGGAATTTTCATAATTTAAATCCTGAATTGATCTTAACTAAACCACTATTGAAAACTGAGAAACATCATACAGCCTCTTAGTCCTAGAATGAGAATCATTTACTGTGATTTAAACTGCGAAAATTCTAGAATGTCTTCTAAACTAATAATCATTTATTAGTATTAGTAGAAGTTAGACATTTACACGTGAAACCGAAAGTTCTGGATTCAATTTCCGCATGCATAGTAGTGGATGCGCACTCATGAGAGGTCTTATAGAGATCGAAATAGCCTCTCAGTGCTTCCAGGTTTTAAAAAGTGGTTTAGTTAAAATTATATCATGATTTTTTTCTCGTTTGCTCGAACCAACGAAACATTTATCATCCTATTCTTTTCGAAAGACTACTTATTTACCACTGATCGAATTTTCCCTGAATAAAGATTAGAGATAAGATATGATTAATGTACAAACATTATACTGACCCGTGTGAAAACTTAGTTCATTTTTGTTTTAAGCTTTGTCCCTACATTAAGTTTGACATGATAAAGGTGAATTTTTAGACAATTTTTAGATTGCACAAGGGCAACACTTCACAATAAGTTTACTTACCAGTTAATTCTTAGCAGTAAGATTTATCTGTAATCCATAGTCAGTCAATAATTTCTAAGAGACTAAAATAAGGTTAAGAAAATAGTGAATATTATTCAGTTATTCACCAAAACCACAGATTGGTAAATAGTTCAACCAAACCACCTCTAAATGTAATACTAAAATGAACCTAAAATTAATATTGACTATTTTAACATTTGAATACGCTTAATCTATAAGTGTTCACCATCACTGAATCCTGATTCCATGTTTCTTGTTAATTTCCTTGAACTCTTAAGCTGTAAAGTTAATTATTAAGAAAACATTAAACCATTTATTCTACTTGCCGTATTACAACCTAACTAAAAGTATTTAATCGACATTTAAGGAGAAATAAAATATGACATTAATGTTGATACCATTGATACAAAATAAAGAGGAAATCATGAACTTGTATTTTGCCTCTTGATGCTAAAATAGGGTGAATTAGTAGTTCATGTTTAACAACGATAATCATGATAAGAACCATTTTACGTGAACTTTTTAATACAACAATCAGTACGGAATAGAACAAAATAGCTAGTCGACAGGAAATATTGAAACTTGTTATCAACATTCCTAAATAAAGTGATATTTTCCATTAGATACGAACCATTGTTAAAGTCATATTTGGCTAATTTGCGGTAAATTGTTGGTGAAGATGTAATCGATTGAAGAGTGATTATTTGTACAATTTATTTGCACTATATGGTCAATCGATCGATTTCTATCAACCATCAGTGAAATGTAAACCATACTGATCTAAGTGATTCGGCAGTTCACAGAAACACAAGCCACTTCAACAGAGCAGACGACACATTTTGGTGTTAGAAACCAATGTGCATGATAGGTTGACTCAATGATTCCTGTTGACTATCCCTAATCATCTAATATCAGAATGAAAACCGGGTTAAATTAACATGTTAGGTCAGTTAAAATAGTAACTAAATCTCAAAATAGTTTAAACAATTTTTCCAATGCTCAAGACTATAAGATATGAGACTAGTAATTATTACTAGATGACCAATTATTAACATCTATTACATGTTTAGGTAGAACGAAAGTTTATTCTTTTTACTTAAAATAGATATATTGAAGCTATCAGTGGAATGCAAATTAAGAGGAGTGGCCTATTCGGAAAACGATGATGGAGTGTACATCTGTCCAGTTCAATATTCAGAATGAGACTGTAGTCCAAAACCATCTTCGTCAAACTCTAACTGTTTATCTACTACTGAGCTTCTGAATCCAGATGCACACTAACTTGTTCCACAGGTTTGACGTCTACATCATCACTAGTACAGGTCTATATTATCCTGTTGTTGGTGGTAGTTAGGAGATACATCTATCAGAC